GTTGGAGTTCATTTTAGTTTGAATGGCGCCGCAGCAAAACGTGTTCAATTTTTTTTTTTCAAGTATATTTTCTTATTTCTACGATAGATTATAAACTATGGATAGCTCTCAGTTTGAAAATTTAATGAGCTATTTGCCGCAGATGACAACTACTCCATTGTCGGCTGATTCTAAAAAGAATTTACGTTCTAAACCGTTGGAAACTACCATCAATGAAATACAAGCCGCTGCCGGTGCCATTCCTAAAAAAGTTCGTAAAATGACTAAAGCAGAATTGATGAAGCAAATCGCTGAATTACAGGAAAACATTGATACGAGATTATCAAAACTTGAGCTTTCACACCAGCCCCCCAGATTGACATCAACGGTACCTTGGCAATAAATCTACACCAAAGCCCTCCACAGCACCTATGAATATGATGATGGAAGATAGGCCTACTACTGAAGTTACAATTAAAAATCTACAGGCAATTCCAGAAGTCAAATCATCTGTAGCTGCTCAACTAGACTCGATGCCAATAATTGGTCATGCTGATACCAGAAGGTTACCTGATAGGCCTAATCCTAACGAGTTTTACAGAAGTAGTGCAGCCAGTTTAGGCCTATTTCAAGATCATGATACCGCAGTGCCAGGTAGGCTAGACAAAAATCTGGCATGGACCGGGAAAGTCAGGAAAATATAGTCAATACTGTTTATTGGCCTCATGCTTTTACAAGTGAAATTGCTCATATTGTCAAGAACAGAAAAGCTCAGAGGCAAGAGGCGTTTATTTTAGGCCCTGTTAATATTCTAATGCAACCAGATGCTATTGTGCCCTTACCAGAAAAACTTGCTAGACTGAAACTATTAAAAGATGTTATGAAGCTGGCAATATTAAACGGATGGAATCATGCCCGTTAATACCACAACTGTGTATTACATGGTATTGAAGTTGGTTCCCATACTTGGACTTCATCATTTGAAAATTTGTCTCATTTCACAGCAGTTAATGACACTAATTCTACTGTCAGCTCAAACAGTTTTAACAGTGCTAAGATTAAGCAATCAAGTAATGCTAATAGCAATACCCCAAGAATTCAGAACATTATATGCTACAGCTACAATTATGACAAGAATGTGGATACTGAGTGTGCTTTCTCACGTGATGGTAAGCAATGTCAAAAGATTCATGTGTGTTTAGCGTGTGCAAAAAATGGATATACAAATAAGCATCCAGAAAAACTATGTGAGAAATCAAAATCTAACAATAGCAGTTCTGGTAATTGACATAACTTGGGTACAGAGTTGTTACAAACAATGAGCCCCTATGAAGTTGAGCTAATTAACCTAGATGCGCCTAATTCTGAGCTTTATAATTCTGAGCCTAGCATTCATGAGCTTGATAACCTGGAGCCGAATATTGAGCATAAACTTTCTGCTGTCAAAAATACTGAGCTGCCTGCTTCTGAGCCTGATTCCAGTGTTGAGATATTCACTGGCAAGTGTTTAACTCTGGTCAATATAACTATCAAGGAGTGAGAATACCTGTACATACTAACTTGAATATTTCAGCTTGGCAAGACAAACTAGCTCATTACTCGGATAATAAGTTATGTGATTTCTTAACCTATGGATGGCCTGTGAATTTTTCATATGAATAATTGCCTTCAAGGATTTTTGATAATCATCCATCTGCTTATGACTTTTGTGATGCAGTGGATGATTATATCGTTACAGAGTTATCTCACAATGCTGTAGCTGGTCCATTTATTAATAGGCCTTTTAATGGAAGACTAGTTACTTCACCTCTGCAAACAGTTTGCAAAGATAGTGTTAATACTTTACAACGACGGGTTGTAATTGATCTCAGTTTTCCTTTAGAAAATTCTATAAACTCTGGCATAAACCGTGATAGTTACCTAGGAACTCCCTTCGCACTTACATATCCAACTGTAGACACTTTAGCCCAATTAATTCATACTAAAGGCCAGGGTTGTTACTTGTATAAATTAGACTTGTGTCGCGCTTATAGACAGCTACCTGTAGATCCATATGATTATTGTTTATTGGGATATCATTGGAAAAATAGATATTATGTGGATACAAAACTGCCCTTTGGTCTTGCTTCTGCTGCAATGGCATGTCAGCGCACCACTAATGCTATTTCTTATATGTTCAATCAATTGAATCATGAGCTTGTAAATTATTTGGATGATTTTGCCTCTGCTGAGCGTACAGAACTTGGCGTACAGAACTTGAAGCAATCAATTTGTTACACCAATTAAGGGAACTTTTGAGTGAGCTTGGTATTCAGGAATCTGTTAATAAAGCTGTCCGTCCTACTCAGCATATGACATTTTTAGGTGTATTGTTTAAAACTGATTCTATGACTTTGTTGGACTTTGTTTTTAGTCGCTTTTTTCTCCTTTTTACGTAAGTCCAATCTCATTCCAGACACACTTAAGCATGCGAAAGAGAGCAAAGCACATTTTCTGCGTAGAGAAGCCATAATTTTATTGTCGGAAGCAGCCTTATTAATCATTCATTCTTCCAAAACCGGCAATTTCCAGGAACAACAAGTTATTGTGCCACTTAGTGCCATGCCCAATAATATTTTATGCCCAGTTTCTGCTTTACATGTGATGTTTTCTCAAATTTCAGCTGAGTCTGATTCCCCTGTATTTGTTTATCCCAGTGGTACTGGATCCTTGCTCCCTTTAACTTATAATATTACCTTGAAAGTTTTTAAGTTATTGCTTAAGAGACTGGGTTATAACCCAGCTTTATATTCATTGCATAGCTTTAGACGGGGTGGTTGTACTTATGCTCATTCAATTGGAGTCGATTTGGAATCTATTCGCATTCATCGCAATTGGCGTTCTAATGCTTACCAGCAGTACATAAAACCTGATTTGCAACAGCAATTACAAGTTACCTCCCTTATGCTTAAAATGTGTTGTTAAATTGTTATATGTTGTCAGCTAACAATTTTTTCAAGAGTCAAAGTTATTAATCTTTATTTATTCACATCATTACAAGTGGTTTGGGGTTTGTTTGGCCTTTTTTCTAATATCTTAACATATAAAATATAATTTGTCTTAGTATGGAAGTTAACATACAATTCATTTAGTTATTACATTGCAATAAATTATTTGCCCCAAACCACTTGTCTTTATTACAACATCTCAATTATTATATGGTATATCTATATGCTACATTATTTGTCAGATGACGACTTTAGAGTAATTTAGTTATAGAAAAAGATAGATATAATAATATGAAAAAAGCAAAAATAGAATTTGTAATGTCAACTGTCTCAAGTCGAAAATGAGCTACATTTTTTCTATTATATTTGTCCAAAATACAAATTACTAAGAACCTTTCTATTCCAAAACTTCTTCACTTTGTTAAATATGTTGGATTTGGCCAAATTTGAATTTATAATCAGTACACAACAAGTAGATATTTCAAAACTTGTCATTTACCTCAGACTATTATTATTGTAAATTTTAAAATAAAGAGTGTTGAATTAGAGGTAAAAGGTCCAACATGATTAGTATATTATTATAATTAACATGTTATAGCCTACTTATATAATAACATAGTCTTTTTGAAGTATTGAGCAGGAACTATCATTTAGAAACATTATAATTATGTTCTTTCTATTTCGAAATATTGTTTATTGGATACCAGGCATTTATTAGCCCTGTGGGTATTCTCCTTCCAACATTATTGTATGTTTTTCATGTCCTCCTTTGTCTTTGGTGACAATTATCTGCATAATACCTAATTCTGATAATGTAGACTTGTAAAAACATCTAATACAGATATGGATGACATATGATAAATATACCCAAATTTCTATTAAGCCTTCAGGAGCAGTAGTCTAGTACATAGACCTAAACATCTGTCTCTATTTCATACTCTGATAGCTATGATAGCTATTTGGACAGATGTCAGCTGGTGTAGACAGGATGTTTTGGACGCTTGGACTAGCTATTACAGCAGTAAAAAAGACACATAATTTGTTAATTGATTAGCTTCAGTGCCATTGTCAATGCCTAACCAGATTACCAGCTTTTGTATAACATATTCCTGATCGTTACAGAACTCCTTAAATGACCAATCACAACATGAAAGTAATCAAATTGAATTGAAAATGTCTGTAACCTATTGCTCAGTCTGCTGTACTGATTGCTAAAAGTTAAAGGTTTAATTCGGTGACAAATTTGAGTACCAAATTGAAGTGACCTTCACTAAACATAAATCAGAATAAATGCACTAACCTTTTCTTTCTGATCATGCCAACAGACAAACGTAAACAAAGCTTTTTGGTACTGCTGTATGGGTTTTGCAACTTTGTAGGCCTAATTGTTTGAGAAAATTTTTACACGATGGTCGCCATGTTTTCGTTCTCGCCGAAACGTTAATAAATTTTTTGTTAGAAATCATCATAATATTATATTTATTTTGGTAAAAGTAACTTTTATCAATATAAGATAAGCGTTCAATATGAAATACAAGAAAATTATCGGAATTTGCAATTTATTTTTAAAGGGATTTCCTACAATTTGTGACGTCATGATTTAGTGTTGACGTGATAACAAGTGCTCGCTGTTAAAATGCAATGAAATGTGCGTTAAACGGTTCAACAAAGTATGATAATGACTTGTTTTTAATATATAATAGAGAAAGAAAGTTGTGAACAGTGGAAGAAAATGAGTTTATATCACTTTGGTAAGTAAAACATAAAGTTTTGGTTTATCCAAAAAGTTTTGAGTGCGAAATTCCATTCACCCATGCTTGACTGACACTCGGTGTTGAGTGTTGCCTGTAGTGTTGGTATTGTATTTCTATTTCTGATCTACTTTCTGTTATTTCTTAGTTCATTGAACATTGACCAATTCCACATTTTCTAATGAGTGTTTTAAGAACTTCTTCCCACATAGGCCTATAGGTTATTCACAATTAGGCCTATTTGCCCTATAGTTTATTATTTTTATGAAATTGTGTCTGTGGCACTGTCTTTTTATCTGTGGCACAGTATTTGCTTTCCTGAGGCCAGTGTTAGTGTCCTTGGTTTTTGTTGTCCTCTGAATTTCTACTTATATTTTTGTCTGGAAGACTCTAGTTGAATTATTAAGATGTTATTCTTTTTACTTGAATATTGCAAGTTTAATGGATGGTTTGGAAATTCGCATTACAAAACAACACTAGAACTGTTCTAATAACAGTACTGATGCAGGGCGGGTTACGACATTCAGGTACATACGAAGACGGTCTATTCCAATTACATTGATGTAAATACTTTTCTGCATCTCTAAATGAAAATATCCTATAGTGCCTAGAGTTTAAAGTGTATTGACTAGGAATAAAAGAATGTTTGTCAATTAATAAAGACCAAGTTTGATGAAATCCGGATAAGAAATATAAATTTGGTAATGCGCATGCGCACGCGCACAACAAAAATGTATGATTTCCATCAAATTTAGAATTGGATTATGCACATACCTAGCAAGTTTGATTAAATTCGGATAAGAAATAAGAAAGTTGATAATGTGCATGCGCACAACAAAAATTCAATATTTCCATCAAATTTAGAATTGGATTATACACATACATACCAAGTTTGGTGAAATTCGGATAAGAAATAAGAAAGTTGGTAATGCGCATGCGCGCAACAAAAATTCAATATTTCCATCAAATTTAGAACTGGTTTATAGAGATACATGCCAAGTTTGATGAAAATCGGATAAGAAATAAGAAAGTTGGTAATGCGCATGCGCACAACAAAATTTCAATATTTGCATCAAATTTAGAACTGGTTTATAGAGATATATCTTTGGAAAGCGCAGGATCTCAGCATTTTGAATCCGACAGAATTATTTCTCTACCTCTATTAGGGCACATGTGAGGACGCTTTAAAGATGCAGAGTCAACTTTCAGTGACACCCATAAAACCGAAACCACGTGTAGGACACAAATTTCAATATTTCTGCATCTCTAAATGCAAATATCCAAAAGTGCCTGGAGTTTAAAGTATATTTACTAGGAATAAAAGAATATTTGTTAATTAATAAAAAATAAGTTTGATGAAATCCGGATAAGAAATAAGAAAGTAATTTGCATGCGCTCAACAAAAATTCAATATTTCCATCAAATTTAGAATTGAATTAAACACATACATACCAAGTTTGGTGAAATTCGAATAAGAAAATTGGTAATGCGCATGCACAAAACAAAAATTCAATATTTCCATAATAATAATTTCAATAATTGGAATTTTTGGCTTGGAAGGTTGATGGTGTTACTGTTGTGTGAGCTTATTGCAGGGCGTTCGTAAGCTTCTTATTGAGTTTACATGTAGTCAGAGGATATGTTTCAGTTTTGATTACAAAGAGGTAGCATACCGGTACATGTTGACCAGTTCATGTCAGTCAAGAGCTAAAGACACATATTAAGCAGGCAAGACATGTTTTTTTTAACTATGTCAAGATAGTTGACCACAGATGGACAGTCAATCAATATATATGTATAATTAATGATAAGGATTGATTGTTGATTGAACCATAATAACATTAATAATGTATCTTATACAATAAGACTAAATATTGATCAGTATTGTTTATTATTGTTACTGTTGTATCTATCTTAATTATTTATGATAACTTCAGTCTATGGGAATACAAATTTTGATGGAACTAGACCACTGGAATATAAGCAGGTAATTTTGTGTTACTTTGGGGGAAAGGTTGGTTATCTTTTAGTTGCTGATTTTTGTATTTTTTCATGAAATTGGTTTCAAGCCTAAGAGGGAAATCGACTTTTTTGTATTTCTCAATGAAGGAATAATAAATTATAGCTTTATAACCTTTTTGGAGTGATTGATCCAATTTGAAAATAAACAAGTTAACATATGAATCAGTAGAGATGAAAATATGATATTGTATTGTGTTAGGGTGTATTGAGACGAGTCTCAATCAAAGCACTGGCCTAGGTCACAGAGCAATAGATAAGCTTATTAATTATGTGAAAATTAATAAGATGATGAGTAGTCCTTAATTTTAAGTAAAGTAAGGTTGTTACAATTATAACGTTTAAAATGATTTTTGCACTGATAGCAAAGCTTCGTGCAAATTATGGTAAAATATCGACATCTTTATAAAATTTGGTGAAATGAAATTTGATTACATAATAAGTCTTTTTGACAGTCTCATATAAAGGATCTTTGAAACTTAACTGTTGTGTAGAATCAAAAACAATTCTTTTTCATGTTTTCAATTTATTGATTGAAAAAATTTTTTTATTTTAATTTTTGAAAACTACACACCAAAATCAAGGAAAACGCGTCTCATATCTGAAAACTTTTAATTAAGTATTTTGCATTTAATTTAAGAAAGCCAAAACTAGTTAAAAGGGTTACACAACAATTAAACATCACTATGTTTTTGTTTTTTTGAAAATTAATGAAATAATTTTAGCAAAATAAACACCAAAATGTACAGAAAATTATCTCCTACTTATTCTTAAGGTTTCAACTAAAAATGTTGAGCAATTATAGGGCCAAACACCAAACTGCTTAATTAACAATTAATACCACCAGTTTTTAATCATCTCTTTTTTAACAAATTCGAACGATCAAGTGTAGTAATAAATAAAATATTGTAGAAATTTTTCTTGTATAATTTCTAATGTTTATAATATTATAATTTTGCATATAATACTTCCCATAAAGCATTGACTGCTAAAAAAACATTATAAAAAGCATTTGTGTAAACATCTGGTCCAAGAAAATCTAGGCCTCTGGAGCATAGTATACATTGTATTGAATCATCAGATATTGTGTATGTTTCAGATAGGTAAGAGATAAGATCCCATTCAGGGAAGAGTCAAGTAATTTAATCACTATATGGTTTAATGCTTGGTTGGATTTTACAAAGTCGTTTTAATCACTATCAAAATATCTCTTTCATCAAGAAATTCAATGGGTGAAAAAAAAATTGTTTGGTAAACATTCATTATGTGATTATACAGTGATCTATGCGTTCATATGTGGTGAATAAACTTGTGTATGTAGAGGTATTTCTAGTCTTGTATATAGTGTCAAATGCAGTTCAGATCTCAAATGCCTGTTGCTGTATTCTCTGTCTTAGACAATTGATATGAGGTCCAACATCAGAACTGCTGATATTGAAATTTTGTTATTTGTTAATTTCTGAATGTCTGGACCAAAACTTATCCAAATCTATTTGTTCATGTCAAATAGATTCATGCTTCTATTGTTCTAAAATATGGAATATTAATTTTGAGTGAATATGATATAAAAGTAGTTAGTGATGATAAATTTTGGTTATGTAAAGGATTTTTTATTTTTTTGTGTGATCTACTTCTACTGAACTGTTATATGAATTATAACATAATGTGATAAGTGTTTGATTCTTAAATGATGATTTTTCTCTTTATAGGCTCAACAATGAAAAAATCCTCCGATCAAAGCATTAAAAAGCCTTCAAGATGACCATATATCCTGGAATCAAGTTGCTTGTGTATTTGAATGCCAAGGGTGGATAGACACTTTCAAAGTGTTCAAATTTAGATGATCAATTCCAATGTTTGAATTCCATTGCATAATTCCTGCTTTTAATTCCAAGCCAATGAATGGAGATCTACCTAAAACCATGGTGAAGAAAAAGTTTGGTTTTAAGACCATAAACTTTGCTGTATTATTATTTGGAGTATTGTTTGGCCTATTACTTGGTAATTGGTTTAAAGTAAAGCTGCTTGGACCATATTCTATATCAGAATGTGGTTTTCCAGAACTAGATACTACAGTCAGTTCCTCTGGGGAACAGGTAAATTCTGTGGATCAAGATTTTCAAAAGCAACAGGAGACTAAGGACACATTTGTCATTGTTGGCATAATGACTGCTAAAAAATTCATTGATACCCGTGGTTTGTCAGCGTTTCGAACCTGGGTTAATTCTATCAATGGCAAAGTGATGTTTTTTTCTAGTGAGGGGTCCAAATCAAAATATGGAGTTCCAGTAGTGCCCCTACCAGGAGTTGATGACTCTTATCCCCCTCAGAAAAAATCTTTTATGATGTTAAAATACATGCATGACCATTTCATTGAAAATTATGAATGGTTTGTGAGAGCAGATGATGACGTTTTCATAAAAGGTGATAAACTTGAGAAATTTTTGCGATCTATCAATAGTTCAAAACCCCAGTTTATTGGCCAGGCTGGTGTCGGTAAACAAGAAGAACTAGGCATGTTGAGTTTGACGGCAACAGAAAACTTTTGTATGGGAGGTCCTGGTATGATTTTTAGTCGTGAAACCTTACGACGCATGGCACCGTATGTTGGTGACTGTTTAGCTAATTTATATACTACTCATGAAGATGTGGAGATAGGAAGATGTGTAAGAAAGTATGCTGGTATTCAGTGTACTTGGGCATATGAAGTAAGTATTTCTCTTTAAGATTCTGCTTACAAGACAATTTCATGCAATATTGTGAAGAAGTAGATTTAGATGACATATTTTCTGTTAATAAACAATGTTCAATTGTGTTTCATAGGTCGAGATAATACCTTCGGATTTTTCAACCCGGTTTCCCCCTGTCAGTGATGCAGGTAAGAGGGGCTGACATGGAAAAAGCGTCTAGTCATTCGGATGGGACAATAAACCGAGGCCCCGTGTGCTACAGACTGTGCACGTTAAAGATCCCTCGACAGTTGGAAATCGAAAAACAGCAGGCTAATGCCGCTGTCCTGGCAAAGTTTCCCTCATGGCACCCTGCATTGCGTTGCCCGTCTTCATTAGCCCACATGGTGCAGAAGAGTAGGACGTAAAACTCCATTCATTTCATTTCATTTTTTCAATTGTGTTTCAATCTATGCACAATAGTCATTATTTTAATCATTTCAATTAACAAATCATGACTGTTTGTTATTCGAAGTGTTTTTATAAAAGATGTATCATTTCCTGATTCAACTTTGACTATGTTTTGACTGAATGCCACCATCTTGGCTTTATGCCAGACACAAACTTGCTTTGAATGACAATCTTGAGAAATATCTCTTATTGTTGACATGGTACTTTATCTTCTGTTTATTTTCTCTAACTTTATATAACATCCTCACCTGTCACTTTATTTATAGCCTATTTGATTTAAGGATTAATGAAACCAAATTCTGATTTTGGAAAACTATTTTTCTATCTTCTGGTGTTTGACACATCTAAATTTCAAATATTTAAATGAAAGTCTGAATCAGTTATATTGGTATATGTATTCTAGTTATTGTTTCCCTCTGTATAATATAAATTGTTTGAAATAACTTTTGTACTTCTAGCTGTGAGAACTGTAATTTTGGTTTTGTCTCACTGAACATTATGCTCAATAAAATATCACGAGACAGACAATAGTTTAAATTCTATAAACACATAAACAATCTCTCATTTCAAGTTTCTATTGAAATCGTGACACAATGATATTTCAACTATAATGACATTCAACAAAAAATTCATTTGGCAGGTCATCATAACTGATGATAGATATGACCAACTGAGAAAATACTCAAATTCAAACACTTGTAAACTTTTGATTAATTCTGACTTTACCATACATATGTACAGAAGGGAAAATCATTACACTTGATTTGTTGTAAGAAGACAGTTAATAGAACTGTTCTGTCGTTTGCTTGGCTATTTTTGGTAGAAAACAGATTTTCTAATGTGATTGACATTCAAGTTCTAATTTCAACTTCTTAATATTCACATTTCATAAAAATTTAGTAGCAATTCAAAATGTTTCAACTGTAGACTTCGGATGAATCAGTTTATACAGACAAGTGTTGTAGTATATTTCTTGAATTAAAGGGACAGCTTTGCTATTTTGGGGGATTGATTTGAATCTTGAATATATGTAAATAGTCTTCAGAAGTACTATGAATGTACCAAAACCGCATAATTCCTTCAAAAATATTTCAAACTAGAAATATCTTTTTCTATTTCTATATATGTCATTTCTATATGTAGAGCCTCAAGAAAAGAAGAGTCATCATTTAAACTTTCAAAATAACTCTCAAATGCAAATAATTCTGGATACACATGAAGGCTCAAATTTTGACGGTGAGCTGTAAACACTATATCTGATTAGCTTAGCTAAAAAAATACTGTTGGTGAACCTTTCTCTAAAGAGAAAATTTTCATAAAAATGTACAATTTGTTTTGATTCGTAGGTATTGAACATTAATATATTGAATCGCAAAAGAGGTTAATTTGACCCTCAAACTGTGATGCAATACAGCTTAAATTGAACTCTGATCTAATATCCTTTCAGTTGGTTTTGTTTACAGTACAACTAGTTTTTTTTCTTAAATGCACTACTGGGACTGTAATCTATATATCTAGTATCATTTGATATGATAAATGGTAATAGATCATTTGAGGTTGCTTTGTGTGAAATTCTCATCCTGTGACAAGTTGACATGATAATGAACTAAATGGTAGCAGAATAAAAGGTCACTAATTCATACATGAACAAACTATGTATCCACGCCATTATCATACTTCAACATTTCTTTTGTTTTGAGTTCAAGGATAAGTGACAACATAATAGTTACTTCAGAATCCATAATCTAACATTGTTTATTTCTTTTCAGATGCAACATATTTTATATCAAAACTACAAAGAAGATCAAGGTTCATTCAAAAAGTCATTAAAAAGTACAGAAGTTGAAAATGCTGTTTCCCTCCATCCTGTGAAAGAGCCAGTGTACTTATTTCGTATTCAAAATTATTTCCAATCCACCAAAATTTTACACCTTCATCATAAAGAACTACTTCTTCAGAGGGATATACATTTAATTGATGAGTTGTTAGGCTCACCAGGGTATACTTTTAATGTTAATAGATTAGCCTTATTACCATCTTTAACAAAATATAGACCTTCAGAAGCAGATGATGTTATATCATGGGACTTTATGACAAAACCTATATTTTCTCATCATCATAACAATCCTAAGCGTGGCCTTGAGGGATCGCTATCTAGTGCTATTGACGATGTTATAAATCAAATCATGCAATTAGTGAATAAAAATGCTCGACAACGCGGAAGGACGTTAGACTTCAAAGAAATTTTATATGGATACAAGCGTGTTAATCCCTTATTTGGAGCAGACTATATATTAGACCTTTTACTTATCTATAGGAAACATAAAGGTCGTAAAATGACCGTCCCTGTGCGAAGACATGCTTATGTGCAACAATCCTTTACTGAGGTTGAATTCAAAGAAGAAATCCCTACTTACGAACTTCATTCAAACATGGGTGCCAAAGTTTTACATTTATTTCGTAAGTTTGCTGTAGGTGAAGAACAAAAAACAGTATATGACAAACGACAAGAGAAAATAAATTTTGTTATGCCTTTATCTGGTCGCTTAAAAATATTTGAGAGATTTATGCGTAATTTTGAGGATATTTTTTTAAAAACGGGTGAAAATGTGAAACTACATGTTGTGTTATTTAATAGTGAGCATGAACGTGGTGAAGATATGGCTTTAGAGAAAAGTATTAGTTTATTACAACAGTATCAAAATAAATATAGTGAAAATAGTGTGGAAATTATACAAGCTTCTGGTGCCTTCTCTCGGGGACGTGGCCTGGAGTTAGGTGCAGCTCGTTGTAGCAGTGATTCGTTGTTATTTTTAGTTGATGTTGACATTGTGATGACTAGATATGTCCTTAATAGAATCCGTCTAAATACTAAACAAGGATCTCAAGTTTATTTTCCTATTGTTTTTAGTCAATATTACCCACTAACTGTTTGTCATGGAAATGTAAACCATTGTGACTGTCATAATCAAGAGTGCTTTATAAATCCACAAGATTTTAGTGAAGAGACTGGATATTGGAGACAGTTTGGATTTGGAATAACAGCAATGTACAGAAGTGATATGCTGGCTGTGGGGGGTTTTGATCTTAGTATTCAAGGGTGGGGCAAGGAAGATGTGGATCTTTACCAAAAATTTATTGAAAGTAACATGACAATAGTGCGATCTGTGGACATTGGTATGACACATGCCTTCCATGAAATCATTTGTGATTCTCATTTAGATCCTGCTCAATTTATTATGTGTAAAGGATCTAGAGCTCAAAGTTATGGGTCTCATTCCTATTTGTCAAAAAATGTTTACAATACAGATACCTTATTAAGTCAAAATGAAAAGTTTATACTCAATGTGAATTCCTAACATAGTACTGATCTTTCCCCCCTAGTTTTATAACTTTTTTGTAACTCATGAATGAACATTAAAATTTCATATTGATAAATTGCTTTATTTTTTCTTACAAAATAGGTAGAAAAGGTTGAACAAGTAAAGGAAAGTTGCTATTTCAGAAAGAGGAAATTTTACAATGTAACATAAGGCTAGTATGGACAATTTGTTTAGAACTATAAGAGTATGGTTCTATGATGCGAAATACAGGTAATTGCAAATTCTTAGCATAGGCAGTAAGAATTTTTTGGGCATATAAACACTATTGGAAAAGTAAACAGTTGAGAATTCCCTCCATAACAAAGATACGTTGTTGTCTTAGCTAAATATTTAACCGTATACTAGTAATTTGTCATACTCACCTGTCAAATATAGATTCCCTAGTAGCTGTCCATTACAGCACACTAGGGATGAACTTGTAGGATTGTATGTGGACATGCAGTCGCCCCTGCCAATCCACCCATTATCAGAGTTATACTATTTTTTTTTATAGTTATAACAACCAAATGATATAAGACAAGTTAAAAAATTTGTGCATGATTCGACAAATATTTCCTGAGCAACAACCCATGTTATTCCGAAATTGTTCGAATTTATGAAACATTGTTTGTAAATTTGTATTCACAAGCTGTGTACGAATATGAGTATGTTTCGATAAATATCGAAGCCCTTGATACACTGTAGTGGCTTATGAACATCATAGAGAACAGTTTAATTTAGCTTTAATTTTAAATTATGTTGGATGAAAACGAATCGGAGCACCATCCAAACATATCAGATAGATAGCACATCACATATACTGAAAGTACATTTACATTAAATGTGGCCTGATTTTATACGCATACATTGTAATGTTCATTCACAAGATCTAGGACATGTTCGAAATTAGTGCGATGACACAAATATTTGTTCAGGCCCTTGACATACAGAATATGTATAAAAAGTGGATGTATATCGCTTGGCAACTGTTTGTCATAATGTGGCTACAAAGTCTGCCCTATTTAAAAATTTGTGGACTTTCCTCATTTAAATCAATCACGGAATCAATTGGTGAGATTTATTGAATCTGATGAAATTGATGGACGAACAGTTTTAATTTAACTGTCTACAAGTATATTGTTGTATGTCAAGTAACCTCTACTAATTTGACTGGTATAAGTCAATAGAAATATGAAAGGGTGTTAATTCATCAAATCATATAAAAACTACCCTCATAACATTTTACTAAGTCACACCTTAACTTGTAGACAAGGCCCAATAAGGCCAGCATTTTATTATTTACTGGTATACAATTTGATCTTCTCAATTATAAAACTCATTTCAATTTTCCGCCCATTAATGTTTTAGTAATGTATTTAAACAAATACATGGCTACGTCTTAGAATCAACATACAAATTAAGAATTTACAACTAGGCCAATAAGAGCATATTTTCATCAGTAGATTTACCCGGTGTCATAAATAACATGACAGGATCCGATAAATCTAAAAAAAACTTACCAATCATCCATAAATATGCAATTAACTAGTGACAAACGCTTAATATTAAGATTAAGCGGTTTTTTTCAATAATTAGGCCTACTTAGTTTTATGAATTTTCCAATCTTTCAGATTTTACAGGGATTCTGATGTAACTTTAAGTTCACTGATGAACATATACTCATATTGACCATTCTTGAGAATTAAATTTTATGTTCATACTAAGACGAATAGTATCACTTTAAAGTGTAAATCTCTTGCGAAAAAGAGAATGCCTTTAAAAGGGTTGAAAATAGTTTCCCGTCATTGGGACAAAACGAAAAATGAAAAAGTCTGGCCTTATCTTAATAGATTATATTTATAACTCAATGGATATTCGGCAACTCCTTTCTATTGTATGGTGTAATCGATCATCTTCCCGAACTAGGAGTAGGCCCAACTGTAGGAAAAGCTGTGAATATCTTGGCCAATGTGTCCAAAAGTTCCCACTCTACAAATTAGGAGCATACCTGGCACACAGTTGCATATGACCAGTTGAATTTTACGCCCCCCCCCCCCCCC